GTTTGGGGGCCCCCCCAACATCATCCTCTTATGCCTGCTGCCTTAGGTCACCTCCCCTAAGTTGTCCATTCTGAAAGGCAGCAGTGGAACTGAGCTCTGAAGCAGATCCCACCTCAACTGGGCCATCCTGGCTTCCCTCCACCATCTCCAGGAAGGAAGTAGAGTGATTGAAGAGAATGCATGGGATTTCCTTCTGGAGGTGGAGATGCTTAATGATGGGGGAGGCAGGCACATCCATATTCATTTAGTGAAGATGTACCCATGATAAAAGCACTTGGCAGTTTTCTGGTGAATCCTGCTAGAGTTTGTAATAGTCAAGCATTATTCTTATTCTATTTGTCACACTCATCTACTGACGCCAGGCTTGCTCCATGACACCCCTAATTCAGTGTTATCCACTCTTAATTCAGTGTTACCCACCCCTAATTCAGTCCAGTCTATGTTTATGGAGCCCTGCATACTTGCTTACACTTTTACACAGAATGCCATCTGCTACTATTCTGGCATTTAAGATGCTTCTTCATGCATCTGAGAAGAATCTTTTAATCCAGCCATTAATGTTGGTTTATCCCAAGAAAGATTTATTTACAGAACTCGACAAAATTTTAAAAACAATAAGTCCCATTGGATCAGAAATGGTTATTGATTTAGGTTTGTTGGCCATCTTCACAAACCACATGGCCAGGCCCCATAGAAATCTCTCATTAAGATTGCCAAGAGTTTAAAGAAGTTTAATCTAGAGCCACTCTGGGAACAGTGTTAGTTACCTTCATAGTGTAAACTTTCCTAAATATTCTCCATCATAAATGGATCATTTATCATCTGGATCCTTGGGCTGGTGAGGTAGTCCTGGGCTGGACATAGCATATAATGTCTAACATCACTTTGTCATCCCTTGGCTTGACAAATCATTGTAACTTCAGTGTAAAAAACTTGGTTTAGAGTTTCAGCCATCACTCGGCCTTTGCTTTCTCGATCACATGCAGGCAGCATCTAGTGATGCCACAATATTGGTATTTTTTAAGTGAGAATCATCTCTTTCTATCCTAGTCCCCAGGCTAAGCATCTCTCCTGTTAGACCCCTCTAGCATCCCCTCCACTGAGTGACCAGGAGGACATCCTGTTGGCCCAGCCCTGCCCGCCATAGAGGAGTGGAAGCTACAATCCTCCAGCCTCTGCTCTCTACACTCCATCACTTTCATCTTAGTGAGCATTAGAGCCGGGGACCTGGGTCACATCCTGAATAAGTCACTTTCTTGCTTTGGGATGTCAGGCATGCGACTTAAGGAAATTGAGGTTAAGAGAGGTTATCTGCAAAGATGCAGATTGTAGGAACATGGGGTTGTTTGAGGATTAGGTGAGATTCCAGGGGCCCTAGAGCACTTTACATCTGTTTACCTACTGATTTATAGATATCACTTGAGTCCTACCATTTAATAATGCTTACAATGGCCCAACCCTTCACTGAGCCCTTCACATATATTATCTATTTAAATAAATCCTCAAGATAACCTCATGAATCAGGTACTAGCTCCAGCCCCTCTGAGACTCTGACGTTATGGTTGTAAAATGCAGAATTGGTACCTTACCTAAGACTATTTAGTTATTTAGTGTCTGAGGCTATCAAAGTACGAATCTCACATGGTAGATTTGTAGGTGTCATGGAATCTGGCAGAGATAATTTTGGATGAGGATCTTTTTGGCATCCTTCAAATCTTACACTGTGAATAACCATCACTCTGCATCCAAGGAGGGCACACTCTGCTTGCAGTCTTAGAATATTTTCAGTTGTATTTTCAATCACTGAGGATATAAGAAATTCTGCTTCTCTTTTCCCTGCAATAACATCCTTCCCCCAACTACCATCCCTGGAATTTTCAAAAGTCCTGATAATATTTCTGGAAATTAAATTTTCCCCTTTCACCATCCATCCCTTGTGCTCCTGCAGGCCCCACCCCCACCCCTTCCTGGCTCCCTCAGACACAGGCTGATGGGAGCAGATCTTCTAATGCAGATGCTGAGTTAGAGAGGTGACTTCTCTCCATCCATCAACTCTAACTGCATTCAAACATGTTCAATATGTGGGCTTCTTGATAACTTCCACTGTATGGAAAACAAAATGGAGGGAAATGATTATTGGCACAAAAGGGGGAAGTCATAAATCTTCAAATCAGATATAGGACAGATTGGAACAATATGGGTTCTCCAAGGTTGCCATGATAATGTACCTAATAACTCTCCTTGGGCAAAAAGGCAATCTGCTTTCAATCAATCTCGCTTTTTCTGAGCAAAAATACCAATTATGTTGAAGGAAGATTTTTTTTTCTTCCTTTTTGATAAAGGCTGCTCTCCACCCCAGAAATCATGCTGTAGCTAAAAGATATATATTCTCAATTGTCTAGAATGGTATTGGACAGCTAGCTTCAAATGAGGAAAGTCAATCCTTTTTTGTCTCTCCTCTCCTGCCTGCATTTGTCTACTTCTTAAGAGAAGTGAAAGCTAATTAAAGGCTTAAGGGATAATATTGATTGAATTGGAATATATTTTATATGTACCCAGCACATTTTCAACTAAGAGAACCCTGACTCTTTCTAAGGCTGAATAAATCAGCTGGCAGGGCCTTTGATTCAAGGGTGAGAGGGTGAACTCATCTCCTTCCCTTCACACATCTGTCCTAGAGATGAATGATTTCAGAACAGGGAGAGGGAATGCTGGCAGATGTTCATTCAGTCCTTTGCGTACAGGATGGGAAGGATGAATGTTCAGGCATTTCCCTGGACCTATCATTGATTTGAGTCCAGCTTTGAATAATCACCAGGCTTCTACTAGTATAGAACTTTGAGCTTTGCAGTGCCTGGGGTGGGAGCTGGCTGGGTGGTATTAACCTCTCAGCTCCCTCATCTTTGAATGGGGATAAGGAGCTTGCCTAGGATCACACACAGCCTTGGTTGGCAGAGCAAAGAATCCAGTCTGGCTTATTTTCACATCCAGGTGAGAGGGAGGGCCCCAACCACACATATGTCCTGTGGAGGAACCCTACGTTGGATTCATGCTGGCCTTGTTCTTAGTCATGGAAGTCTGCAGGCAGAAAGTGCGAGAATTGCCCCATGCAGCTCCAGATGTCAGTTCAGGAGGGAGATCCATTTCTCCGTCACTTTCTGAATACACTTGGCAAATTCAAAATCAGAAATCTTATTCAAAATGTGCAAATTCATTTGCAGCCTGTTTTGTCCATATAAATGCACTTGTGCTACAAGAAATATTTTAAAATATGACATGATAAAAATGTACATAACCCAAGCATTCTGTTCACGTCCCGTGTCCTAACAATGCGTACTTCTGGAGGGAGCTACTCATACGGGTTTGGGGCATTTGGATGGGTGGTGAAGGCTAGAGAACCTGAACCTGGCTGGTACTGGCTAGAGAACAAAGTGATCGTGTTGGAACGTCCCTTCTGAGGCAGCCCCCTGACGGTCTTTCCTCCTTGTGATGGCCTGGCGCTTGCCCGGCCACTAAGTGCAGCACCGTAACAATAACAGTCCATAATAGTGATATTATTAACTGCATTGTGCATATTATTGATTTACTCTTTGTTCTGCATCATTATCCTTTCACCAATGAGTTTACTGCCTTATTCTCACATACTTAGTCAAGCACCAAATTACAACGAAAGGGCAGGCTCTTGTAATGGCATCTAATGGAACATTGCATAAGTGATCATCACTTCCTCCCATTATGAGCTGCCTCCAGCCAATGAGCTTTCTGCCTTATTGGAATGTGCACAGAGCAATTATGAGGTGCAAGGGGCCTAGCCATTCTAAATTTTTTCCCACGAAATTACCGTGCTTCAGTGTTCGCCACCTGCCCATGCCTCAGAGCCCAGCCAGGGATTCGGCCTCTGTTACTAGCAGTCTGAGAGGCACAGAGACACAGGCTGAGCCCCTTGCCACAGTCTCCTTATTAGAAGCCAGCAGGTTTCCTCCCCACAGCCAGGCCTCGGCTTTGGGTTGTGGGGCTAACCCTTGCACAAAAGGGCTTACTCCTGATGGAGCATCAGATAGCAAATGTCTGGCTACCACGGGGTAGCCAGATTGGTTCAGATTCATCAGACTGGTCCAGGAGCACAAAGATGTTGGGGGGACTGTTGTCCTAGAGGTTCTGGAAAAGAGGAAAACCACCATCTCCAGAAACAGGAGTCCAAAGCTCCCTGGATCAAGGCAGACAATTCCAGCCTCATTCCTTTCTAGCTTCTCCCCATCTTGAAGTAAAATGCTTTGGCCCTTGTGGAAATCTCAGACACCCTAGGGAAGCAGCTATCTGGGGATACACAGCCTGCAGCATGATCTCCGATTCCATAGGCGTCCCATCCTCATTTAGCCCTGAGTAATGCTCACTTACTGTAAAGTGTTACATGCCCCCATTGTCGGAGGAGTTATGGCGGAAAAATGCAAAATTTCCTTTTTACTGCTTATGGCCAGCAGAACCCATAACGTGTCAAGCCGCACATTAGCCACCCTGATAAAAGTCCGCTTTCTTACACACAAAATCATCGTTTCAGCAAGATTTGTTATCTCATTACCTGATAAGCTCTATGTCATAAACCAAGACTCATTCGGTAAATCTCTCAAGAGGACGCTTTGTGGGCAGAAAGGGAAAGATATGAATCTGCAAGGGACTTGATAATGCAGCATTTAAGCACAAGCATAATGTCACTTATTGTTAAATGCATAAAACCACTTGGCCAAACGGTTGGGCTTTTAATAGGATTTTGTGCAGCATCAGGTGAGAAGCCATATGCCTTTTCTGCCGAGGAGTCTCTGAACACCTGCCAGCACCGCTGCTTTGCCTCACAGCCCTCTGGGGATGGGAGCTGGGCTTTAATTGAGGCCTCGGGAGGAGATGAATGCTTCCCTGCAGCTGTGAGCTTCCTCTGTTCTTGCGTGGGGTGGGTGCTGGGTCAGCGCCAGGCTGGCCCCATCTGACTGGCTTCTCCTGTTCAGGCACATTGTGGTCTGCGGACACATCACTCTGGAGAGTGTTTCCAACTTCCTGAAGGACTTCCTGCACAAGGACCGGGACGATGTCAATGTGGAGATCGTCTTTCTTCACAAGTAAGGGGCCCCTGCTGTTTCAAGACCCTCCATGCAACCAGGCACCCCGAGAAGGACTCCCTGAGTGTCCATAGGAGTGGTGGTGAAGGGGCCATGTTGGGGGGCAGTGCAGAGTTGAATTGGCCATGACCCTCCCCCCACCAGTGGCCTCCTTAGAGAGGACACCATGGAGCTAATGGAAAGGGAACCGACACATTAGTTCAGTGGTGAGCACGGCACCTGCCTCCATGGAGGCAATTCAGGCACATGTGAGTGAAGTTTATTATGGGGCAAACATGTCATTACTGTCTCATCAGCTGTCTGGATCTATTGGATCTAGGTGTGTTCGCAGTGTCTGGTGTGGAATGAGCTGTATGGTGTGGATGGATTCTTTACAACTGAAGGAGTGACATAGTGGCCAGGCAAGACCCAAACGTAAGAGGATGCAGGGTATAAAGTGCTTGCAACAGCTGCAACAGCAATTACTATTTCTAGAAACCTCAGTGTAGGACCCTGTGCTGGTCCCATCTCTAATCAACACAGGGAGTCAATGTACATTCTGTGAACTCAGAGGATTCCTTATGAATCTTGCAGAGTAAGTTACTTAGCCTCCCTGGGCCTCAGTTTTCACATTCCTAAGATGGGGAGATCACAATGGTTTCATTCTACCATGTAGAGAGAATGAAAAGAAATAGTCCGCGTAAAGTATACAGAGCAGAATCAGGCACACAGGAAGTGCACAACAAATGTTAGCTATTATGGTGAAAGATAAAATATATTAGGCTAGATAAGCAACTTAGAAGATAGGTCTTATCATGTTTATTGGACAGTGGAGGAAAGCAAGATCTCTCCCTCTGCTCAATGTTGTTGGGATTTTAAGCTTTGCCTGATCCCCTTTTAAGGAAAATGTTAGCCTGCCACAGGGATAGAGAGTCCAGGGACTCGGGCATGGCACCATCTTATATTTTGATGGAAATGGGGCCATCATAGGGCCTTCACTAGCCCCAAGTTACCAAAGGACAAAGCTTGTGAGTTGGTGTGGCTCCAGAGGGGGTTGATGGCTCAGGACTTAATCCTGCTCTGAGATCCCATGAAAGCTGATTTCCCTATAAGCTTCTGTTCTGTGCATCTCCTTCGTTTGACACTTATTCACAGAATACCAAACTGCCCGCCATGTTTGAGTGCTAGCGTTTTGCTTCTCAGCACTGAATTCTCCAAGTTCTGAAAAGACCAGCCGGGTCATGAGCACAGGAGCAGAGCTCACAGATACAATGCAGGGCGTGGCCTCTCATTACCAGCTGAGGGGCCCGTCCTCTGCAGAGCATTCTGGAAGGTTCCAGAGAAGTAGAGTGCATAGGTTCTGCCCTCATATTGGTTGGGCATTTCAAGATGAGCACATGTGCAATAATTAGAGCTCAACATCTAGCCTGTATTCACTGACTGAAGTCTATTTAGTCGAGAGGCACAATTGCACAGGGCATTTGCATCAGGGAGAGACCGCGGCTGACTTCCCAAGGGGCCTGACCAGTAATGGATCTCAAAAACTGGTCCAATTTGCACAGGCTCTGTTTCTCTCTCACCCACCGCTTGAGTCTGAATCAACAAGCTGGCAGCTCATACTTCACTTACTGGGATTCACTTTTGTGTCCCCAGCATCTGTCAGCGTCAGCATCGTAGTAGATGGCCTGGTTAATTAACCTCTTGCAGCTTTGGGTTAATAGCATCCCTTCCTCTAGGGTTGTTTTGAGGTTTAAATGAGTTAATACTTGTCAAGTGCTTGGAATGGTGTCTGCCACATAGGAAATGCTCAAAAACATTAACAATTTGCTCTAAGTGCTTAATGAATGTTAGGCAAGCGTTGACTAACACAGTTCTTGGTACCTAGCAGATTGAACGAAATATCATCTCCCAGGGCCTAGCCATAATACCTTATAGAGAGAAGATATATTTCATCTCTGCAGAAGTAATAAATGGATGAATAGGTCAATCAGTGTTTTAATCCTTGTCGTCCAATGGGAAAGATGTCTGTACAGCTCAACACTAAGAATGATGAATGGTGTACACATGTGTGGATCAAGAATAGTACCGAGAGTAAATTAACTCTGTCTGTGGCAGCTCACAGGTGGACATGTTTTGATCCAGGCCCAGGGGGATGAAAAGTCCACGTGGCTGAGAAGCAGAGAAGAGGCTTTGAGGGAGGGAATGACAGGAGGCTCTACCAGGGGCATCTTTGGCTAATCTCTGATGTCACAGCCCAGTGTCTCTATTCATCAGATGGGGATTCCACTTTTAACAAAGTCGAAGACATTTTATCTCATAGGCCTCAGACTTTGTGAAGACTGTGAACCTCTTGCTGCTGGTTTTGGTTTTCAGTGGGTGGGGGTTTTATTTTTCTCAAGTTTGAAACTTTTATGTCTGGCAAGAAAGGGGTCTGTCTTGAAGGTGAAAGCCTTTTCCTAGGTCTTTCTCTTTGGAAGTCAGAGAGAAAGAAGGCCATGGAAGCAGAAATACCTGAGTCTGTTTTATTAATGGTTGTTCTTTCTCTCCCTGCCAGCATTTCCCCTAACCTGGAGCTTGAGGCTCTATTCAAACGACATTTTACTCAGGTGGAATTTTATCAGGGTTCAGTCCTCAACCCACATGATCTTGCAAGAGTCAAGGTAAGAAAGAAGAGGTGACTTCTGTTTTTACTCCAACTGACAGGGGGATTGACTCTGTGGTGAGGGCATATGCCTCCTAGGAAGGCCAAGCATCACCTGCACACCCCTAATGAGATAAGTCTGATGCCACCAGCCTTGACATCACCCTTCCACTGACCCCAGAGCTTCATTCTGCTGGCACTTGCTAGACCACTTCCCTCACTTGGACTAGTCATAAAATGAAAGTTATTCTGCCAGTTCCTTCAATATCAGCACTCCTCAAGGAAGAAGACCAGTTGTATGGATTCAGTAGATGCATATATAACATAATAATCAAGATAATATTTAAGATAATTCCTATCTTAAATACTTAAATTGGATTCAGTGTAGTTCTGAAATCTATTATTTACATTGGAAAGGAACATGAAGGATAAAATATAAATAAAATTCTACCAGGCCGTAAAACATCTTGAGCTTCCTTTTTATTCACCACCAAAGACTAAAAGCACAAAACTAAACATGCAGATATCTGATATCACTGGGTAATAGGGTAATCTTTCATTCCAAAATCTATTAAGTTAGAATCTTCTTATAAAACAGACCTGAGGCTTATAAAGGAAAGGGATACAGCAAAGTGGCATCTGCTACTTGGCTCGTTTTATATAGATTTTGTAAGCACGTTCAATATTTGTAAGCATGTTCACTACAAATATTGGGTATAGATTAATATTGTGAATCCACTGACATCTAAATGTTAACTGTGGTCACTACATAATTTAGTCAATAATGTCACTGGCAAACATGAATAAGCCAGAAGGATCTGGGTAAATTCTTTGGATTATTAAAGAAAAGTAGAGACAATTTGTGACATACCATGGAGGAAACCATGGCCTCCCACCAAAATGCAGGAATGGTCTATTAAGTACAACATATCGAACGGGACAGATTGCAGACCTGAGCCAGCACAAGAATTCTTATGCTTATAGAGTCCAGTTAATATTATCCAGACATGATCCAAGTTATGACTAATGTGAAATCTAATGAGAACTTGGAGAAAATAGTTACTGTTCAAGGACCTAATTTAGATGCAAGCAATTATTAGCATAACTCATCATTCCCTCAAAGACCTAAATCTTATTTTGGCTCATGTTTAGATAAGTCAGTAGGTTTTGAGGTCATCTGTAACACATCATTTCATACACATAGATTTGTTGTCTTTTGAATATCTGAATGCTAATTGAATACTAAAGAATACTGAGTTGTTATCTGATTTAGGGCTCTTATTTTCCTTCTGTTCCAAAGTTAAGATGTGAAAAAGGTCAGATGAAGGACTTTGGAGTCTCAATTTCTGAATCCCCAACAATTCAGTTAACTTGGTAACCTGAGAGAAGTGATTTAGCTCACCTAATACCATTTCCCGACTAAAAAAATTAGGATGATGGTGTGGATCCGTTGGTTGGGAAAGGAGGCGGGGAGGGGACTGAAAGGCTTCATTAATTGCTATTTAAAGAAATCTGGAAAGATTACATCAAAGTGACTATGCAAAATGGAAAGTCTAATTACCAAGGTACAGGTTGTACCCTCTAACAACAACAAGATAAAATGTTTATACCATAACAAGAACTTGCAACTTACACTTTTGACAAAAACTATAATCTCTCAGTATTATTTTTTCTTTCCTTGCAAAGCACCAGATTCTCCAAAAGCCGTCAACAGAGAAAGACTGCAACCAAGCATGGTTATTTATATGTTTGTGTTTTGTGATTTTCCTTTTGGTGTCTTAGATAGAGTCAGCAGATGCGTGCCTAATCCTTGCCAACAAGTACTGCGCTGACCCTGATGCTGAAGACGCCTCCAACATAATGAGGTAACACTGGGGAGGCCAGGGGAGGATCTAGGCTTGGTGCTCTGCAGTCCATTGGGTGCCCTCTTGAGTTCCCTGCAGAGCATCATCTCTGTGGTACCTTCTCTCCCCCCTATGTACCCTACTACCTTGCCACAAGCATAGGTCCAGGGGGAGCTGAGGCACTGGTGGCTGTGGAGGGCAAGGACACAAGGCTTATCCTTGGCACATGGGAGCCCTGGGGTTCACAACTGGTCTTGGGTTTGAGATATTTCAGACAGGACTAGGAAAGACAGATTGAGATTAGGTATAGGCCTAAAGTAAAGTGCCATTTTCCCTAAGAGGGAGTGGACCTGAAATGACTTCACTGTGGGTGATTTTGTCCCCCAGAGGACATTTAGAAATAACTGGAGATGTTCTTGGTTGTCATAATGGAGAGATGATGCTGCTCACATCCCGGAAAGTAGAGGCCAGGGATGCTGTTCAATATCCTACGACGTAGAGGACAGTTCCCCACAGCAGAGAATTATCGGGCCCCAAATGTCAATAGTGCCAAGCTTGAGAAGCTCCATGTTGGAGCTTTCTGAGTGTGTCTATAAACATGTTGATTAATAGCCCCCACAAAGAGGAGTTGGTGGACTGATGAGCTTGTTTCAGCCAGTTTCCCAGGATGAAGCAGTGTCTTCACTGAAAGCCTTCTCAGTGCTTTTAATACTAAAATGCATTGCTAAGATAATGTTCTACAGAGAACTTTCTAAGGTAATGTTCTACAGAGAAGTTATCACACCTATTTGTCTCCAAGCCCCCCCCTTTTTTAAAGGTTCTTTTTTTTTTTTTTTTAGATTTATTTATTTATTCATGATAGACAGAGAGAGGCAGAGACACAGGCAGAGGCAGAAGCAGGCTCCATGCAGGGAGCCCAATGTGGGACTCGAATCTGGGTCTCTAGGATCACACCCTGGGCCAAAGGCAGGTGCTAAACCGCTGAGCCACCCAGGGATCCCCCAAACCCCCCTTTTTTACAGAACATCTGTGGGAGGGTGGGGAGCACACCATCCAATGCCCTCCTGTAAACCTGCTAGGCCCCTGGAAGGCCATGGCTTGGCCTGCCCTGAAGTGCCCGACCCCCCCACTCTTCACTCTTTTCTCATGTCAGAAGAAAACTGTTCTGTGACCACTTAATGACAAAAAAGTTAAGATATTTGGCTCTGGAGAGTTAAAGCCCCTTGGGGTTCTTCTCCCCTCCTAAGTACATTGCAGAGTAGTCAAGAGAGTTGGAAGGGAATAATAAAGAGATGCTTCTGGAGAAGAGATGAAGGAAGAGAAGACATTTCCCTCCCACTGCATTCCTAAGAACTCTTGCCTAATTGTGAGCAGCCACCCTTTGGTCTAGACAGACTGGCCTCTCCCCACAGCTTGGTTTGCTCCACAAGGCTCCGAAATTTACCTGGGGTGAGGGCTTGGGAAGTTGCTTCCTCAGGATGCTCCCATCTCCCTTCATTTGCTTCTAATGAGTGGCCTCAAATGACATCTCCGAGGGGGGGGGTCTCTTCCCGTGCACTGGGGATGAGCACGTCTTCCCCTCACCATCTGGTCCCTGTGTCTGGCAAGCGACATCTGGCACATTGTTCTTTCCTCTTGCTTTTCTTCAGCAACATGCTTAGTGCCGTTGTTTTAAGGAAGTTGACGCATGAACTCTTGTACGCAGGGGGCTTGCCAGCCTGCAGGGAAGTGGTGGCATGGGGACATGTGTCCACACCTGGGCCCACCCCCTAACTAGTCACAGCTGGAAAGTGACTATAACAGCTCAGCATGGGGGGTGGGGAGAGGGCTTCAGTGACCCTTTCCTTGAACTAGGATTTCTATCCTTCACCAGGTTTTTGTATCATTTGAGGTGATAAAAATGTAGCCTTTAAGGACCTAGGCGTCCTCATCTTTGGATTTTTCAAACATAAAAAACAAAAGAAGAAGTTTAATGTTTTGACCCCCAGAGAAGTTTGGGGCTAGTGTCTTTTTATTTCCCCAAAAGCGAGTAATTGAAAAATGAGTAATAGTTTTGAAATGGGCATTTCTCTTACTAGCAATATTTCATTTAAGCCCTGGCTGCAATAGGGCTAATACGAAGACATGGAAGTGACCAGAGTGTTTGGAATGAAGCCACGGCATAAAAATTACAGGGCCCAGGTAGCTTCAGAAATGAAGTTGAGCCACCCATTAACCAGAATCAGAACTAAGGCCCAGGCAGCAAAAGGCAACAACGGGAAGTTCAGGGTTAAAAATTGGGCTCCGTCTTTCCCTTATTTGTATAATCCTCCTTTCTCCTTAGTTTAATGAGACCAATCTGCCCCTTTTGAAATTAAAATGTCAAAGACCCATTTGAAATGAGCTAATGCAGAAAGCTGGCCCGGGCTGTGAACTGAATTCTGAGGGCTGAACCATGGCTCAAAGTCCTTGAGTTACAAGCACAGGCCAACACCACACTTTTTCAAAAATAAAATGAATTCCTTCAAGTGCAAAAGCCCAGGCTGAATTTGTGCAGGAAGAGGCTTCTGTGTGATCCATTTCCTAAATTTACAAGTTGTACCTTCTCAGACAAAACTGCTCCCTGGCTGCCTTCTCTCCATTTTTGCACAAAAAAGGGATGAAGCATGGAGCATTTTTTTTTTTTTTTTTGGTGCAAAGTGTGTGGGGGTGGTCATAATAAATGCACTTGCATTTCTGATTAGGCTTAGGAGGTGGGCCCTTCTGTGGAATTCCGTTCTTTAGCCTTCCTTGTCACAGAAGGAAATGTGCAATGTCACCTCTGACAGAGTCGGTAATGACAAAAACCATAACTTACATGTGGAGAGAGCTTTTAATGATTTCAAAGCATTTCCACATCTGGTCTTTCATTTGCTACTCATACCAAAGCCTGTGAAATAAATAAAGCAGGTACCGTTGCCCCCAGCGTCCAGATGAGGAAACAGTCACAAAGAGCCCAGGGATTTCCTGAAGGTCACCCAGTTCCTTAGTACAAGACTGGAACTGGAATCCAGGTGTTTCTGTTCCTCCCCTTGTAGCCTAGTGACTGTGTCAGGGAGCCAAATCTAGGGGGTGGGGGAGGGCAGTGGTTCATAGGGGGTATGGCTGAGGGCAGTCTGCTGGTGGGTAGCTGGGAGAGGGAGTGGAATTTCCACCAGACTGTGGCCCCCTCCAGGCCTTGGTGCTCATTTCCAACCAGCATTAAAGTCATCACTTAGACACTATTATCTAGCAAAGGCTGAGTCATTGATCGCATCATAAGAGCCCTGCTCAGAAATCCTTTTTGTGAGTGGCCATGTGTGTGTCCCAATTAGTATCATTTGTCAGGCTGCTTGTTTGATTTGTCATTGTTGTCTCAAGTTGTTAACTTGGGGAATTGGACTCAGAGCAAATTATTTCTAGGCTCATCCCTAGGGTATGTGAGATTGCAATCCTCCTTCGGCCCCATGAGTTAGGCTTACTTTATTTAGATGCCTATGTAGGCTGTAAGCCCGTGACCCCTGCTCGGGAGCCCCCGCTCCAGTACACACATGTTCACATGCCCACACCAAGACACCACAGGACAGGATTGCTCTCCTCTTATGCCCAGGACACGGTTTGTGGCCTTTTTGTTGATGTCTTTTTCACACTGCCATGGGGCAGGGTGATGGACACACAGTTTCACTTGGGCCTGTGCCCGCAAGCCCTCAGGATGCCAAACTCACTCCATCTGGGCACAATCAAATTCACGTTCCCATCAGACTCCAAGAGTAAGGCGGACCCTGTCTCAGCTTTGGTTCTTTCTTCCACAGAGTAATCTCCATAAAGAACTACCATCCGAAGATAAGAATCATCACTCAGATGCTGCAGTATCACAACAAGGTAGGCCAGCCACAGCCCGAGCCCGTCCCAGGCTCAAAGGTGCACGAGTGTGCGAGGTCTCTTTCCTCTCGCTGCACAGCTGCGTATGTGCACACGCACATACACCTGCTGCTGCAACCCAAAGGCCTGGAAAAGGGGGTGCTGGGTAAAATCCTCCCTGCCCCCCCAGGGCCTTTCTTTTCTTTTCTTTTCTTTTCTTTTCTTTTCTTTTCTTTTCTTTTCTTTTCTTTTCTTTTCTTTTCTTTTCTTTTCTTTTCTTTTCTTTTTAAATCCAGGGCCTTTCTTGAGTGCAAACATCACATTTACCATTAGTCACTGGGAAGAGGCATCTGTTGGACCCCCAGGATCAGAAATATCGATATAATCTTTGATCCTGGTTCAACAACTTCCCCTTTTATGTGCCTCGCTCACTTCTGTCAGTATTTACTGACATCCTGCCCTGTGGTTGGCGTGTCAGCTGGCCTCCCCAGCACCCACACAGGGATAAGTGAAGGAGTCCTACTTCGTGCCTTCAGGGACGAGGGGTAGAGAGTGTCCCAGGCAAGAGGCAGGGCTTTCCTACCAGAAACCAGGTGACCCAGAGAAGCAGAACGTGTGGCGGGTGGAGAATGTGCAACACGAGCAGTCTCAAATTCAAGATGAGAACTGGCTCGGTCGAAGTCAGGAAAAGAGTTGCTCTCCAGAGATTAAACAGAAAGGAGTCTTCCCAGTCTTCTAGTTTACAAGGGGATTGGGAAGAAAACAAGTGCGGGGAGTCTGTGCTGTTGCCCTTGCAATGACTTCTCAGTCTCTCACTCAAAGGCACTGCTCCTCCACTTGGCCTGTCACTAAACTCCCCGGGAAACAGCTTTGGGGGAGGGAAGGTGGCACCTTTCTCTGTTTGATATGGAACTGGTTATTCCCCATAATGAGGCTCAGAGACCAGAGGCTGCTCAGTACCTGGAACCAGGTGTCCTGTCTGAACACAATAACTCCCTGCTGGGTTGTGAGTGAGTGTGTGTCCCATCTTATAGGCCATATTCCCAACGAAATAGGCAGTCAGGTGACCCAGAGAAGACCCTGTTCTGCCAAATGCACCAGTGCCATGCCATTATTTCTTAATTGCTGGCAAGTGCTGCCCCATTTTGCTGCGTGGAGGCCCATCAGAGGCTGCTGTTGAGTGGAGCCTGCTGTCGGTGACTGGCCTTACCACTTGGGTCTGCTGCCCACTGCCCAGCCCTCGGCAGGTGGTTCCACTGCAGAACGTGTTGCACTCCAGCCAGTGGGCTTGGTGGTGGGCACCCAAGGTCTCATTGTCCTGTTCATCTCTGGAAAACCCAAGGACCCTGAAGAGATAAAGTGAGGATTTGGGGTACTCAGAAGCATCGGACTGGAGTTTTTTGACAGCAGCCTCTGTAGATGGAGGTAAATTTTACACATCAAGGCTGTGGCTGGTGACAGCTCCTAAGGCAATAAACTCTTCTTTCATTTATGATTTGAAATTTCATTTAGTGTGGGAGTGCTTTACGCTGTTGTTTAGGTTTTTTGGCTGAATTTAGATTGAATAGGAAAATGAATGTTGTATGTTTAGAAGAGGTTGTCAGTTCCTTTTTTTCTCATTCCAATGAGTACCGATACCACATCTTCAAGAAATTCAGGAGGGTTTCAGCTGTGATTCCTGTCAGACTCTGAAGTAGCTCCATGGACCTAGGATCCAGATGGAACCTGGTCAGTGCTCACATGACCATAGCCAGCCAAATGTCTTTTATAAACCTTTTCATGGTACTTATTCAGGAACAACGATGAAGAAATCAACTGATCCATGATAATTTACTGAAAACATATTTATGTAGAACCACCCCAATTTCAGGGGGGTTTCAGGGTCAGGCAATATTATGTGTGAGACTTTGCTCCTATAAGATTAGTAAGGGTACAAGCGATGGAGTGACTTTGGCCCAAGACATTTTTCTCTACCATTTCATTTCTCTCTTCTATCGAGAGAGCAAAACGTCCACTGGTCTTGTCATCTCATTCCTCATGGAATTGCAAATGAACACTTGCCACCCTGCTTTATAATTGTGCTATTTCATGAGATGCTCCCACCCTCCCTTAAATATGTTTTTCTTCCCATTGCTTACAATATTATTTTTCTTCCTCTCTCTGTACTTCCTCTTCACCATGACTAAATGCCCAGAGAGCTCCACGCATTAACACTTGCTTTCTTCAAAGACCCTGGTATGTGTGTGTAAAGTTATGTTACAGTCAATGTACTACAGTACAAAGTACTGCAACTACAAGATGGTTAATTACATAATTGGATACTGGACTTAAAATATAAAGAATTGCAATTCCCTGTGCTCTAATGATCCTGGTATTCCAGGGCCTAGAGGGATGTAGGCAAGCTGCCTACTTTCTCTCTGTGTGAAACTGGTCCTAAGTTTGTCATTGTAGTAATCTCAGACATTTGTGTCATATTTTATGGGTTTTAAAGAGCTTGACATCCATTATCACATTTAGTCCTCATTTGACCATCTGTGCATGCTAGCATCCCAGTGTGACTTCAGACTGGGAGTCTACGCTGTCTCAGACAGAGCAGCTCTGGTGTGTACAACTCATGGTCACTTGGCAGGCAGTGCTAAGGACAGAACTGCCGTCACCTTCTCTTTAAATAGAGCCACACCCCACTGAACCAAACTGTGGTTCCTCACAGCAGGCCTTATATAGTAGGACTGATGTTCTGTAAAGTAGATCTGAATTCATGGAGAGAAACACTCAGCCCAGCCATCTCTGAACACAGGAAGAAGATGGTATGGGGCATTTTTGATTTGAGTGCAAATGTCTTGAAGCTTTTCAAGGAAAGAACAGTTGCCTGTTCTTTCAGTTTCACTTCTAATGACTTAGCTATTAATGTTTTTTTTTTTTTTTTTCCGAACAGATTCTAGAACAAGAGTTCTTTGTCTGGGACCTGGAAGCCAAGTCCCAAAGGCCCAATAGAGGAGCAAGTTCTTTGAGCTTTCTCACTAAAACCCCTTACACACTTGGGCAGTTGTGTTAAAGTGTTTTCTCTGAAATGACTTTTATTCATTATGGTGGCTTCCTCAACGTTGTGTGTAGAGGGGAGAGCTGGAACTGGGACTGGAGTTGATCTCTCCTGGTTTCCCAGGAGAGCCTATTTTCACATTCCTTCTTGGGATGGGGAGTGATCCTGTGGCAGATCAGAGGGAGACCCTGGTCCTGCTACACCAGCTTTATCACGCCTCATTCTCCAGAGAGGATTTGCCTCTAGACTCCTGGGCAGAAATACTGGCGTTTTCTTCGGGCCCAAATGTCCCTCAAATGAAGGACAGAGGATTCGGGTTCCTGGTGAAATTTTGCACACACAGATGTTCCTCCTAGCCTTTGGTACATCCCTCCCTGCTCCCTGCCCCACAGTTGGGAAAGATATGATGGCCAATAAAAAGAGGCCATATGGAAGCCTGAGAAATGAAACAAACTTGAGTTTCCCATGTAATCACTGTAAAGTATGTCTAAGGAACTCAAACCAGATGGGGACATAGGGGACCCAAAGCCCAAGGGTCTGGACTTCATACCTTCAAAAATATGGCACATGGGGATATGGAACACTCTGGAAAAGGCTTTATTTGTTTGTTTGAAAATGCCACAGGGGTTATGTGGCCTTCAAATCTCCTTTCACACTCAATGATTTATTTGCTCATCACTTAGATTTCCTTTCTCCTTATTCTTCCCAGATGATATGAATGCAAATGAGAATTTCTCCCGAGACTGGTATCTTCCCTCTGGTATCAGTAAAGAGGGAAGGTGGCCTTTGCAAGCTGCTGAAGAGTAGGCAGAGAAACAGGGTAAAGGGCAAGACTATTTGCTAGAATCAAGACCGTGATGTGAGAAGGTCTCTGATACCCAACTTGAGAGAAATTACCATCCACTGTGGCCCACACACCAGACTTTTTTTTTTTTAAGATTTTATTTATTTATTCATGAGAGACACACACAGAGAGAGGGGGGCAGAGACACAAGCAGAGGGAGAAGCAGGCTCCCTGCAGGAAGCCTGATGTGAGACTCAATCCCTGGACCCCAGGATCACTACCTGAGCTGAATGCAGATATTCAACTACTGAGCCACCCAGGTGCCCTCACCCCAGACTTTTTTTAACCATGTTATCATTAGAGAGGATACAGTCTTCTCTCCCAGGAGTCACCACTGCTGGATTAGGACTTGTGAGACTGTCATAGGACTTTGCAGGAGTGGTTATTTCCGAAAGCAGAGCAAGGAGCCATTGGACTTGCTCTTCGTTTCCATGATGGTGTCTTCTACTTTTCTAGTAGCACCACTGTAGTTGTATTGTCCTGACAGTGAAGGGAAGCATTCTGGGTGCTCCTGCTGTTTGCTGGTACGTGGAGAGAAATAGTAATTTCAGAGCCATAAAGCCTTGGCATCAGCGGGGCCTTGGCAGGGCTTACCGCTTCAACCTCAAACGCAAAGCAAGAGGTCTTTCTATTATGACTTGGAAAAACACTTACTGAGTTTTTGGGACAAAGACCTTGCATTTTTGGAGGTAGCTTTCTCCATTTATTAGACAAATTACATCCTTAGAAAGTTCCTTTATGAAACAAGCCAAAAAACTACTTTCTTGTAATGTACACGAGTCAGTCCTAATTCTGGCCCCTGGAACAAAGCGAGACAAGCCCATCTCTCTTCATCACAACAGCACCTGAGGTATTCAGAGGTAAACCAGCCTGTCTCCGTGAGGGTGTGGTCCTTCTGGAGGCCAAACACTGCTGGCTCTCTTACCTGTTTCCCAAAAGATGTTTTTCAGAAGCCCCACCTCTCCTTGTGCTTGTCATTTTTTTTTTTTCTTTCTGGAAGTGATTCAATTGATCAGTTTTCCTCTTTAAATCTGACTGTTACAACTGGATCAAGTACTCTGGAACTAGCCTGACCAGTTCACAACAGAATGAAACATTCATTTTCCCTTGATCTGGAGACCATTTCTAACAAGCAAGCATTGGCTTTCTCTGTAATCTGTCACATGGTTGGCCTCTTTCTGAGGTTTGAGTTAGCCACACAGTTAAGGTTTTTCTTTTTTCTTTTTTCCTTTCTCCTCAGCTCTGTTGCCAAGTTAGGTCTTCTCATTTTGAATTTATACAATTGATTTTTTTTTTCAACCTAAATGCTGTGCTTGACATTAAGGCCTTTAAAATCTTTCCTGGCTGGTTTTCTGCCCATTTTTCCAACCCTGGAGTAGTTTTTGAATCTTGATTCCTTCATCCGATGTATGATCTCTGGCTCTTTGCTTCAGGCCACTTAAAAGTAATCGGATGAGCATATGTCTGGGTCCTTATCTGGAGGTGGAACCTAACTATTGAATAGGGTCAGTCCATCTGCAAGAGATTGTAACATGTCTACACTGTGATTTGCCTGATGATTTAGATCAGTGCTTCTCAGATGTGCTCCTCAGATCAGCAGCTCAGCAGCACCTCAAAATTATTAGCAATGGGGATTCTCCAGCCTCACCCCGAACCCTACTAGATCAGAAACTCTGGAGGAAGGGCCAGCAGTATGTGTGTCAACTCTCTGGGTGATTCCGATGCCCACTTAGGCTTGGGAGCCACTGGCCTGGAATATTGGGGAGGCAGAGAAAAGAGAATTCTAAAACACGCAGGCATCTGACACTCTGGGTCTGTTTGAGAAGCCAATTTATGAGCGACCTATCCAGACATCCCAAGAGCGTGGGCCGATGTGTGGGCTGAGGGGAGAACCTGGGTTTGGGAGGCACAGAAGCGGTGTTCCAGAGCGAATGTTGAAGACTGAAGTGTACTGAATAGGGGAGTCAAATAAAACACCAAACACCAGGCTTGGGTGAGGGAAAGAAAGGATGAGTCTGAATGCCTCTGAGTAGTCGGGCCATGCTGCATTTCCCAGAGGAGATTTGCAACAATTGAACATTTAGCAACGTAAGGTCTCATACCTCACTTTTGCTTCCACAGGCCCATCTGCTAAACATCCCAAGCTGGAATTGGAAAGAGGGGGATGATGCAATCTGCCTCGCGGAGCTGAAGCTGGGGTTCATAGCTCAGAGTTGCCTGGCTCAAGGCCTCTCCACCATGCTCGCCAACCTCTTCTCCATGAGGTCATTCATAAAGGTAACGTCTTGTCCTATTAGAGCACATTAGCCCCAGATTCAGTTTGTCGTGGGGTTGAGTAGAGAGCACAGCTTAAACTCAAAACAGATCGACGGGCTTTAACCACTTTGGTTAAGGAGAGATTCCTTGTTACAGATTTGGGCACAAGGCCAACTTCTTTCAAAATTATGTTTTTATTTTTATTTGGCACATCCACGGCCATTAAATGATTGTTCAAAGCACAATCCTCTCTTTTTTTTAGATAAACCACATGTTTATCTATCAACAAAGCCTCCGCTGTTAAAACAAAAATATGATTTATATGCATTCCATATGGCACCAGAGTGCCTAAAGAAAAGAATTATCATTTTGCTCTTTTACATCAAGTGGCTGGTGGACCTCTCACTGTGCGGATAAATGCAGACCATGTGTTTGTGCTGAAGCCCAAACCCCAACAACATAATTCATTTATTTATTTCTGCACAATCAAGGAGGCCAGCAGGGCTGACATGCCATGGTTATTTGAATGGAGAGTGAAACGAGGGACCGAACCCTCAGCAGCGGCGCCCTGTACGCCGTGAGATGGGCAGTCTGGCTCTGCTCATCTCCTCGTCAGCCGGCTCACCCCACAGAGCTGACTGGGCAGCCACCCCAAAGTCTCCAAAGTGGCCCCTGCCTGCTGGTCCAACCCAGGCAATGAAGGACCCAACTCTGTCCTCACAGGCTGGGTCAGCACATTTTCCAGACCAGGCCAGGCCCATTTCCAGGACATTGGGTTGAGAGTCCAGGCTCCTACTGAGAGGGCTTTTGGAGTGCAGGATAATGATAATACCAGTCCCCATCCTTAGATTGTTCTTAGCCTAGACTGTCAAGGAGGCAGATCAGGACAGTAAAACCTGCCCAGTTTGGGCCTTTCTGACCTGGCATTGGTGGCCATTAGCTCAGGATCTAGGCTTCCATTCCCCTTCCTGCATTAGTAGTGATAGAGGTGGGAAATTTGTGAGTTACCTGGAGGTCTCACAAGGCGGGCTAGAAGCTCTGCAATTGAAAGTGTGAGACCTCCAGCCTTTTGCTGCCATTACTGCTGTGTGTGGCACCAGTGGTTGGTCAGTTGTTTGGGGGAGTCGAGGCAATGGCCCTGGAGGCCGTGGGAAGGATGAGTGAGAAGAGTAAGGTTACAGGTGATGGGCTGGTTCCATGTGAGTGCTCACCCTGGGCACCCACAGCCGTGTGGTTAGAGCAGGGCTCTGCTCTTCTTTAGGTCCTTACCCTCTGAACCCACCTAATTTACATTACTTATGCAATTCATGGATAATAATCGTTTATGTAAAAGAACAAATTGTTTTGGAGACCCTTCAATCACTTTAGCAAAGGGTGGCTTGGTCAAAAAATTCCTTCAACTCACTATGTACCCAAAGACCCCAACTCCACAGAACTCCAGGCTCAGACCCAGCCCACAAATAAGGACGTTGTGGGGTTTTTTGTTTGTTTGTTTGTTTGTTTTTGTTTTTGTTTTAAATGGTTTCTTTAATCCAGGCTGCTATTCTCCTGCCTGGATGAAACTGAATGCAGGCAAAATGGAGTTGGCAGGGGGCTCTGTGTGGCTGGACTTAGAGACATGCCCCAAAGCCAGATGTAGTCTTGTGTCTCCCATGGCTCTTGTGTTCAACACAAGGAACCCAGATCCTGGGATAAAGGACTGTCACCAAGAAAGCTCCTCTGGCTCATTCAACCAAGCTCTGGTGGTTTCCTCCAGCAGGGAATGACCCACAGGCCCAGGCACAAGGTCTGAGACCTGGGCTCTGCTTCCTTATGTTGATGTAACACGGTCTTGGCAGGGCCCTACCGCACATGGGGCACTTGACATGCGTATGTTTTGATTTTGTGGTGCCTGCATGGAAACTAGAGCTGCCTGTCAAGAAAATTAATAAAATGGATGTGACGCTGATTCCTCAGTGTTATTACCAGCAGGGATAAAGAACTTCTGTCCAACTTTCTTCAAGACCCTGGAGGGCCTCACCTCTGGAGCCAAGGACGTCCCCTCCAGCCCAACTAATCCCACTGCCAAGTTCCTATTTAGGAAGAGCCTGTGGAAGAGACTGGGCTGGGCCCTGGTGTAACTGAAAGCACATTTCCCTCCTAGGGTTGTATTACCATGTTATTTCTGCCCTGGGGCCAGCTCCTCCGTGTTTGGAGGTAGCTCTCTGAACATGGCCTCCTGACATTCAGGTGGTCTTTGTGTTGGAATTTGCTAAGGTGCATGACCTGGAAATAGCAAGATTTCCCTTCAAATATTTTTTTTTTTTCATTTAAAATAAGGACAGCCTGAAGCGTGTGCCTCTCATTCTGTAGTGTCATCATTGTGCACTTACCCTCCAAATCCCTGATCCTTGTCTCTTTTGGGTCACAATAAACACCATGATGATGTTCTCCTTGACCTGTTTTGTGTATTATCTCCCATTCCAGAAGTCACAGAGCCTTCACTTATTTTTATTTGGTGTGTATTGCAGGGGCAGATGGAAAAAGGAATCTAGAAATGGATGACTGTTTACAAAAATTGCTTCCTTCCCCAGTATCCCCCATTTTCCTCCAGCAGAGAATTCACCAGCACTTCCACAGGAACAGGCAGGCCTCGAGGATGGAGGGAGGTGAGATGGGGCTTTGGTAGATTTCATCCCTTGAGGACACTTAGCATTTCTGGAAGCAAGAGGTGGAGTGTGAGCTCAGCCTCTCCTTTGCCCTGGGCAGGTACAGTGTCTGTTTCTTGGCTCTGCAGAATACACTGTACTCTGTCTCTGCTGAGCAGAGAAGAAAGGAGGACTGACACTGCGATAATATATCACAGGCGGAAGTAGCACGGTGGCTGCCCACCAGGCCTTTAGTGGCCATGAGACCAAAAGCCAAGACTGAAAGTGAGGATTTCAAAGCTCAGCAAGAGCGAGGGGCTACTGGTATGCAGGGGTTACAAAAGAGACCCAGACCAGGGATACCAGGAAAATATGGGGAGCACCTGTTTATCCCCTGAGCGATATCATTTTCAAAGTCCCTTACCATAGGCCTTCATTGCCCTCTGAAAGCCTTGCTCCCATGTTGGATGTATCATCTCCGAATTGGTCTTAATATTTCGAGAATCTATATTTTTAGCCAACGCCTTTGGGGGTAATGAATTCAAGTGTGCTAACTACTGTTAAAGACTTTTTCTTGGCTATTTGTATTGAATTTGGTCTGCTCAACCTTTAAGGCATGCCCTCTGCAGTTTCTGGTGTGCTGGGATTTGTGTAACAGATCCATGCTAACCTGATAGCCAATGACTTCATGAAAGAGGCACAGGTTGGCCCCTCGGGTCCTTGGACCCAGAAGCCTATTGCTAATGGCAGGCTAAGCATTTTCTGCAGCGAGTATCCAGTTTTTGCCCCAAATTCCTCTAAGAAGATAAGGTGATCATCCTGGTTCCTGTGGCTTGTCTATATCTACATCTTCGACCAGGTCTGGAGCATCCTGTTTATTTACACTCTCTGATCTCCTGCCACCTGCCTGTGAGGGTCAAGTGAGAATCTTCCTGAGGCCTCCTGTAAAGACCGAGACAATAAACTTATTTAGCCTATCTGCTATTGCCTCGTAGCTGAGTCCCTGAATAAGTGGCCACACTTACCCTCCACTTGGCTTCCTCCTTTGGATGTATTCTAAGATCCATTGATTTTTTTTTTTTTTTTTGGTTTGAGAGTTTTAGCATGTAATACTTAAGTTTCTCTTCAGCATATGTGGTTTCAAGTTGGGGCTTGACCTGCCATCTTGGTGAATTGTGCTATTATTCTTACTAGGATTAGCTGTCCTTGGACATGATAAATTGTGTGTGGGGGTGTTGTGTATAATTTAGAGAGTGATTAACTCTTAACATTTCATTTTAGTCTGTACTGAGACTTCAAAATTTAGCAGATTTAAATTATACTCAGAATTGCCAACTATTTTAACCCTGCTAAGCTACGAAGCACACACTCATACATAAATACACACACATCCTGGAGCGTGGCATGTACTCTGTAATTATTTCTTGTGGGTGAAATGTTACTTAATATTGATCACAACATGGCCTCCTCTGTCACCTTTTCTATTTCTGAGTGAGGAAGCCATAGGAAAATCAGGTCCGTGTTATTCAGAGTGTATCTTGGCTGAAGTGGACTTTGCTGGACATGAAAACCATTTGTTCGTTATTGATATTACCACATTAAGATAAACTTTCAACAATACATAATCCTAGCACAACTTGTAGGCAAGGGAATCGTTTTAATACTTCTATTTTGGGTTTATGTTTATGTGCATCTATGTGTTTTTTATATGCATGTCTAAAAAAATTATGGTTTAGGAGCTGGAAATACAAATCAAGACTCTACTAACAGCTGAACTATCTGCGATTCTAACTGTGCCAAGCCCTGTGTTAAGTGCTTTATAGACATCGGTCATGTAATTCTCACAGTGGCCATACCCACCACTGACTATTATTACCCACTTTCCAGTGGCAGACACTGTGGGTTATGAGAAGTTCAGCAGCCTGAATGAGGACAAAACACCTAGAATTGACAAATGCATGTTTCAAACCAAGCAAACTGGTTCTAGGTCTTTGAGTATACCAGGAGGAAATATGGTAGAGGTGCCTGGGTGGCTGAGGCGGTTAAGTGTCTGCCTTCAGCTCAGGTCATGATCCTAGGGTCCCGAGAGCGAGACCCACGTTGGGCTTCCTGCTCAGCAGAGAGTCTGCTTGTCCCTTTCCCTCTGCCCCTACCTCTCACCCATTCTCTCTCTCTCTCTCTCTCTCTCTGGCTGGCTCTCAAATAAATAAAGTCTTTTTTAAAAAGAGGAAATATGATAAATCGTAAGGGGGAACCTTAGCTAGTGCTAGCATCTTAGCTTTCTGTAGTTTATAGACATGGTTGCTTTGATAGAGACTCCCTGGGCACCTACTGTATTCCAGAGAGGGTGCTAATCACACTGTCATCCTCATGGCTAGGAGGCACTCAGAAGCT